AACCGATTTGCCATATTCAATTTCAGTGAAAAGTTACAGAACATTTTTGAAATAGGATTTAAAAAATGTGGAGTGATCCTAAAAAAATCGCTCTTGAAAAAAAGTATTTAGAAATAAAAAATTCGGAGACACTTTTATGTTGTTTATATATAAAACTAGCAATTGTCGAAATTTGAGAGCAATCAAACAAATTCCCTTTGATTTGTAGCTCTGAAAAGGTGATTCGGGCGCTCGCATTTAGAAGTCGTAAATAATTCCACAATTAATTTTTTTTCAAACTTTTTGGTATAGTCTGATAGCCAGTCGTATAAGCTTTAATTTTATACCGGGGTTTAGATATCTACAGTTTAAACCGGACGCGCTACATCGCTTGCACGCGAGACACCCATGAAGGTGCACGGTAACCTTAAATGTCATAAACACCACGTGCGCCTTTCTATATTCACGAATAACGTTCCTCGCGAATTAATATTCACGCTGATCACGCTTCACGCGTAAACCCATCGCTACCCTTATCTCATAACTAATTGATTTAGGAAAGATCAAAACAAAATACTTTCTGGTGTTCAACTTCCAAACACTAATTACGATTAGCCTTTATGCATAGACAGCTTTCTACCAAGAAAGAAGGAATCGTCTTTATAGCTACTTTAGATAAAGACAAGTTTTCGAACGTGTGTTTGCTATCTCCAAGGCCCTGATCCTTCTAGAAAGAAGCACAGGGATCTTCAGTCGAGATCGCTAGAGTTTAGAACTACACCAATTTTAAGAAAAGAAAAAGAGTCTAAGATTTTAAAAACGCATGAGTTACACATAGGGAGTTAGCAAAGTATTGAGTCCTCCATCGGCCTACTTTGGCCCATGACGGAACATCTGCTTAAATATAAAAACGAACCAATCAGGCAACAATCTCGCTAGCAGCATTTTATTCAGTACCGCAGCTAGTAGTCAATAAAATAGCGAATATCATACTCTCTCTAACTCATTGAATTTCGCTCCATTTTTTTTCTCGAATATGAATTGAGAAAATGGAAACAGTAAGTCGAGTACTTTCTCCTAAAAAACATCCAACCTCTTTTTCATGACAATAAAAATAAATGTAAGAGATGACAACATTGCATTTGTCATTCGCAGCATGGGAAATCATTGCAAGGAACCAACACTAGTACACACTAAAAACAAGCAAAATGTTTGACATATGACTAGTTGAGAGGGTAGAGCAAAATTTTCGACCAATCACAGAAGGTGCTTTAGTACAAGCTATGCCACCCAGGTTTACTTTTCATTTCATCGTAAAATACCCCTTTGCGGCAGGACATCATCAATTCCTCTGGATTCCATATCTTTTATAAATGACTCAGCAAAAAAACCCTCTGATTGTTTCCTTCACGGCTTGTCTTACTTCACTGACTTTCCAACAGTAAAGGCAAGGATTCGCAGCTGAGTTAAGGAAAACCATTGCTATGGTTACATCCCACATCAAGTCTAAAGATGGCGAAGTAGTTTTTCTAAAAACATATATAGTTTGAATTGCTGCATGTGGTACATAACAACCTATCAGTGTTATTTGTACCCACACTAATCCCGAAACTATCTTTTTGTATCGGGCAATGTTGAAGGCCTGGTCTTGGTGAACTTGCTTTTGCACGTGTATTTGCATTTGATGTTGGCGAAGTTTCACGTAGATTTTCACGAAACAGAAAGTTGAGACGGCCACACAGAGAAGCTCAGTTATAAAAATGCTCATCCGGGTCAGGAGTGAGCTGTAAATGAGCGTCGTTGCAATTACGGAGCTAAAAAGCCAGAAGAAGACCATTATAGCCCGTACTCGTCTCGTAGTCACTTCCTGTCGGTATCGAAGCCGCAGTGACAGAGCTAGAAGTCTGTCCGCACTTATTGTTGTCAATGTTAACATCGATACTACCCCCATTAATGCAGCGGTACAGTAAAAAATGGTTTTAAGACTTACGCAAGCTCCAGTGTGCCCTTGAGACGTTAAAAAGCTAACGAAAAGCGGCCCTGCAAGAAGGCCAACACCAAGATCAGTACTTGCAAGGCAGCGGAAGAGAATTTTTGACGGTGGATGAAGGGAAAATACCCTTTTTAGCGCAACAATTATTAAAACGTTACCTACGACAGCAGTGATAGAAATAATGATAATTAATATAACGATGAATATCTTTTGTTGCAATCCATAAAGGCGAATCGCACAGAAGATGTCCTGACCACTCGTTTGCTTTTCACATGATGTAGAGTTCACAGCCATTCCTCTTTCTCGCCTTCGAACTCAGTGATGGTTTTTAGTGCGGCCTCATTTGTTATCTTCTACGTAAACACAAGCCTCAGCACTTGAATTTAATTTTGTCTCGGTTGGAGAGCCATCATTATTTTCAAAGTTCGGCTGACCATCCAATGCCAATGTTCCGGCGACTCATTTTTATAATGGTACCTACAAGCCCAAAATCGTCTATGGTTATCTAAATTTAAAGAGATCATTGCGAGATGAGCAACTACTTCGGTACATCTTAAGTTCCAGCAATGATTATTGTAGCAATGAAGAATTCTCCATCGACAGTCAGTTACAAAGGCCATCTCTCCAAGTGCGTCTAATTTCACCTGTTTTCGTACAGCTTTACAAAATAGTACTAAAATTAATAATCTGTAACAATGGTTGATTAACTAGGTTTCAGATACAAAATGACGGCAATTCTATTTTACAACAGCACAGTAGCGTTTCAATCGACCGTTCGCTATCAAGTGTTCGCTCTACCCATAACTTAAGTGCCGGGAGATTGGTAATATGCTTAAAAAACAAAATATACGTTTCTTACTATCAGAATGGCTACGACGGTGGTACAATATTTATTAGGCGCAGACAATTTGTCTCCTTTGAATTCTTTTTCTCGTTTCTCAGTTAAAACTTATTAACATATTACTGATTGATTTGCCCGTTCTCCTACCTTAGCGATATTGTCTTGAAATAGCGATTTTAAGGATCCCATTCCTTACACCATTGAATTTCGAGAAAGAATTATGCCTTAGACTCAACTTTTCGTGATAATGTATCTTATCACTTTTACCTGACTACCTCCAGTATCTGCGTGTCAATCGCAGAGGAAACCCACGACGCCAAGACAAATATATAATGACAGATAAAGCAAGTTTACAAACAAAACAGCCAGTAGGCTAATGAACTAGACTCACTATGCAAAGTCAGTTATTTGGCGCGAGACCAAATCTCAAATCTTTCAGGATCCCTAACAGTTTCGGCAATATTATGTATTTTTTTCCAGTCAGTCAGTATTCACTTCCATTTTTATAAGGAAATGATGTAATAAAAGATCCAAAGTTTACTCTAATGAGTTTCCTACCAAGAAATGTGGCGTCCGTACAGAATCGATGATGTTAATCAAACAAAGGAAAAACAACGAGAATTTAAAGGAAAAAAGGTGACTTTCGCTCAACACCATTCTTTTGCTGTCATCTTTTTTGCTAGAATTTCAATATTGGAGATTTTTTAGTTGAGGAAATTAAATAGTCCCCTAAAGGGCAGGTTACGTAGAGCGAACAGTTGTTAACGAACGGTCGATTGAAATAGTGCATTAGTGATTTATTTCCCCATTCTAACGCCTTTGCGGTACCGTCTAGATTGATTTTAACAATGGTATTCTTTGCACCACTGAATTTCATGACAGATTTTACCCTGGATATCAGCCCAATCAATTTTTCGTGACGAAGAATATGAGATTTTCACCTGCCTATAGCTATATCCATTATCTACACGTCATTCATAAAAAGAGGGATCCTATGTTTTATAAGCAAAACAAACCACCTAGTTAATTTATTTTCTTACAATGCATAATAAGTTCTTTGGCCACCAGTTTAGGAGCAAATTTTCCCAAATGCTTAAGCCCCCCAATTATTTAAAGTGAAGCCTATGGCGTCCGTTTTTCTATTTCTTTTTACTGGTTCCGTTTAAGCAGAAGTTCGTATTTGTGAAGCAAAACCAACGTTTGGCTAAAGTGCTCTAGGCTGCCATAATCTGGTTTCAACCCTTACAGAGAACACTCCTGAGCAGTTTTAGCGGTGATGCATTTTTCATTCTAGACAATCAACATCCGTTTTCATTATTATACAAAAATTCTGTAACAAGCTCTTCGAAAGTCTTGTCCCAGGAAAAGTGTCGTCCTAAGAGGATGTACAACGTCCTTAATTTGTAAATTGGGGCAGAAGTCGTTAACTCGAAACTTCTGTCAAATAATGAAAGGAATATTTTAAGTTCCTGATCCTTCCTCATCAGCGGTTTTTGAAAGCTTGCATCAATTAAGCAAGTCATCGGTGAATTATAATTATTATGATCGTCACCATTTAGCTTATATTCAGATTATTGTACAGATTATCATAATTAGTAAATTGAATTTGATATTAGACGATTAAGATTAAGAGCGACCTTAAATTATTATTCAAATAATGAGTCGGCTCAACACCCAAAGGAATGGATTATCTTCGCAACTCTGCACAAGGATAAATGTTCGTATAGACCACTTTCATAAATGGCTGCCGGATTAATATTCTTTTGTTTAAATTTAAATTAGCCCTTCTGGCCTCGTTCTCCAGTACAAAATTCAAAAGAATACATGATCTCAAGCGAGGCCAGAAGGGCTAATTTAAATTTAAACAAAAGAATATTGATCTGGCAGCCATTTATGAAAGTGGTCTATGCTGATGGCTATTCAGTGATAAAAAGTGAGGGTCGACGGGATTTTCATACTCTTTTCCCGAGTTTCAGGCACACGAAACTATAATCAAAGGTGTTTCTGAGAAGTGGTAGCGTTTTGAAAACTGAATGACTGATGATAAAATTAGGGTATGTAGTAATAACGGGAATTAGTATGAAGCTTTCCTGCGCGTAGTTTGCGCTTTATTCCTTTCTAAGGAAAATGGTTCTGGTGTTATATATTCCCCGAAGTTCTTGTAAATGAAAAGGAGGCCAGCAATTTTTTAATCCCGAGACTGGCGTTTTGAAAGGACAAGTTAAAATTATTTTATGAAGATAAAAGAAAGACTTTACAACCTGGCCAATTAGAACAAAAGGTTTGCGTTGACGTTCGTAACGTCACAATGAACAGGTGCTGTAAGAGCAACCATTTTTCTTTTACCTGTGAGTGAGTGTGAGTGACAGAAATTTAAGTTTGGCCACTTTCGGTTTACACAACTAAGCAGTTACCTGTTCAGTGTCCTACAGGTATTACAAAACCTGACAATTCCAAGAATGGGCTATTAAAGTAGTCTCACGTTTCATAAGTGAAGAAAGTAATTATAGAAAGCAAATACATAAAATTATATCCACCTACTAGCTAATTTTCGAACCAAAATAAGATCAAAATACGTCAAGACGCTTCCTCATCGCCATCGGCGACCAGTCATTTTGTCCCATTTTCATTTTTTAACAGCGGAGAGCACCAACAATTTGACATCTTCATTCCTAAAAACATCAATGGAACCAGCTTAATATTTAGAGAGGACACTGTAATATAACCATGGCGAATGGTCAACAGAAAGTCTACAGCATCACGTCCGCGGATATATTTCTTAGTATATCATTGTACCTCCACTTGATGTAAAACCAGTCTGAGGCTTATTTATATTTTGTGACTACAGTGTACCGACGTTGAATTGTCATCGGTGGCTCCAAAACTGAGGACAAAGGAGATACGAGTGGTGAAGCTGGGACCAGAGGAGAATCTCGCGTGATACTTGGCGGAACTATAAAGGTAAACTTAATGCTATCAGCTTGAAAAAGAAAGTATGGCAAACTCAACACCAGATGAGTACCATATGACGAAAGGTCTAGACGAGTTCTGCACGATTCGTAGCTATGGATTGCCGCTAAAAATTTTCATTGTGGTATTAAATATCCTCATGTCCATATCTACAATTGTGGGCAACAAACTTATCATTGCTGCGCTTCAAAGAGTATACTCCCTCCATCCTCCGTCAAAACTTCTCCTTCAATTCCTTATGGGTACCAATATCGTTCTTGGTCTTCTTTCACAGCCTCTCTTTGTTGGCTTTCTCATGTCTCAGGAGCACTCCAAAACTTGTTATTATCTGAAGACCCTTTTTTATGCTACAGGTACATTACTTGGGCTGATGCAGATTTTTACACTGACGGTAATAAGTGCCGACCGACTTCTCTCTCTTCTGCTGAGTCTGAGACACCGGCAGGAAGTAACTATGGGACGAGTGAGGGTCACATTGTGTTTGATTTGGCTTCTTAGCGCTGTGATTGCATCGACGTTCATTTACAAGCCATTCGTTACTAAGAGGATCGGTTACATAATTGGTTTCCTGTGCGTTATCATCCCGACATTCTGTTACATGAAAATTTACTTGAGACTTCGCCAACATTACACGCATGTAAACGCGCAGGGACAACTTCGTCAGGGAAAGGCCTTTAATATTGAGCGCTTCAAAAAGACGGTGATGGGCGTAGTTTGGGTCCAGATAACACTGGTAGTTTGTTATGTACCGCACACGATAGCTCAAGCTATATTTGCTTTCACTGGGATGAGCTCGGGATCTTTCGACTTCATTTGGGATGTGACAGTTTCCGCGTGTTATTTAGCGTCTTCTCTGAATCCTTTTCTATACTGCTGGAAGGTTCGTGAAGTACGACAAATAGTCAAAGACAGTATCAAGCCCTTGCTTTGCTGAAGCAAGATAAAGAATATTTTAGAACATGATGGAATGAGCGGTTTCCTGTAAGAAAAGCATGCACGTGCATGAATTGTGCAATACAGAACTTCAACATGCGAAACTAGCGCGCAAGCGCGGTGCGTCCCCATACCTAGGCTGAAATATTATACCAATCTAAGGCCGACAACATTAGACTGTCACGTACTGGCTGCGCCGGCCGAGAAAAACAGACCTTAGGGAATCAAAAAGTTTTATCGGTCATACAACTTTTTGAGATTACAGGCTGATAGTTTCTAAAGAAACTGTTTGGGGCTGCGTCGGTGGGGGTAACGAAATAATTTCAATATATCAACAAAGTTGAAATGGTAAATTGGCCAGCGTTATGATTATAAAAGCTGACGTTTCGAGGGTTAGCCCTTCGACGGAGCGAATAGAGGAATGGTGGGTTGTGTGTGCTTTTAAAGGAAGAAAATGGAGTTACGTGATTGCCTTTAAAAGCACACACAACCCACAATTCCTCTATTCTCTAGGACGAAGAGCTAACGCTCGAAACGTCAGCTTCTATAATCGTAACGGTGGCCAATTTACCATTTCAACTTTGTTGATATATTGAAATTATTTTTGAGAGTACGCTGACATAATAAGTCCCGTGAATCACCTCCCGTTTTCAGTAGCCTGACATGTTGCTAAGGTAACACCATATGAAGTCAGTGATAATGGAGTGCGTAAGGCTGCGCTAATATGAATCTGGTCGAGAGTCTTGAGGCATTATGTAATAAACGCTGTGAATTTAATGTGGTCTAAGTCTTCTACCAAGAAAGGTAGCCCTCTAATTATGTAAATTAAAGAAGTTATATCACTCAAAATTTGTGGCTCTTTCTGACAAAATCATTAGACAAGAATATCTTAAATACTTGAAACTTCCGCATCGGCTGTTCCCTGTGAACTTGCAATAATTTACTGAAAGTAATAGCGGCGCCATTATCATAGTCTTTACTTTTATTCAGATTATTATTCAAATTATCATTATCATTATTAGATAGCATTAGATGATTATGTTTAGACTAAAAATATCTCTACTGCAGGTACAGATCCACCTTGAATTATCGAAAAAGTGAGTTGGCTCTGCATCAACGGTAAGGATTTAATGTTTTTAAAGCTTTGTAGAAGATACGTCTTGGTCACTTCGTATAAAATTCAGTGATAAATCATTGGAAACTTGCTCATCAGGTGTTCTTTGCATTGGTAATTAGCAAGAAGCTTTACCACAATTGAGCTAAGGAAGGTGCGTGCCTTATTCGTTTCTAGGAAATATTTCAAGGATGTCACGTTTCCATCGAAAGTTCCAATAAATGCACAGGGGAAGGCCAACAATGGCTTATTCTGGAAACTGCTCCATTAAAAGGAAAATGAAATACCGTAACACCTGGCTCGACTAGCTAAATAAACCAAAAAAAAGTTAAGACGCGTTTGAGTCGATTAGCGCGTTTGAGTCGATGTTGTTCACATTAAAACAAATAGCCGCTGTGAAAACATATGTCCGCCTATGAGTGACAGAATTTTGATATTGTCGCTTTTGATTTACATAACTAAAAAGTTATCTGTTGTCATAGAAGTTATAAAAACTGTCAATGGTACAGAAAAGGCTTTCGATCTCAGGTAGATTGAGTTTTCTCTTGAGGTGATGAAAGTGCTAACAAAACTACTTCAACAAAACCACCAGTGCAGAATAAAAAGGGAGAAATAAAACATTATAATAAAATGACATAATAAAACTATTGTCAGATACAATGAAATATATGAAGTTCATATATCGTTCACCATATGTAAAACTATTGTCACGCTACTTATTCAAACTGACCGTTGAGTATCAACAACTTGAAAATAAAAATTCAAGGATTCATTTATCAGAATAAATGTATCTTATTTCGTGGAATTGATTGCAATTTTAAAAGAAAAAAACCCTAGAGTGTTTGTTATCGGCATTAAGGCATACGTCTAAACCAAATGAGTACCAACCGTTTATGTTCTCTGGTTCGAAACTAGCTTTTCCGTTGGTGTCTATTGCGAAAGTGCCACAGTTATTGAATATTAAAGAGCTAAGGAAATAGAGGTTCTCTCTCTTAAAGAAGTGAATGTCTTTGTACCCTGGAAAGAGGCCTTTCTTGAAATTCAATATTGTAAGGAACACATCTTCAAAATCGATTCTTTTATGTGAAGACAGTATGGGGAATTGTGAGACGGGAACGCCAGGAAAGCGACTTATGAAGCCTTTCAAATGACTTCTTCGTTACGCTTCCATGTGAGGTATTTTATCAATATTTTGCCAACCAGGAACACATAGCGAAAAGTAAATCAAACTCTTAGTGTCTCTGCCCTTGGATAAAGTTATCAATATATTGAGAATAATGCATGGGCGTGCGAAGATATGGAATTTATCTTGAGTGTTTAACGATATCTCACAAGTGAGCGCGGCTAGCGAACGAGTAAGACATCGAGTTAAACACGAGCACCTATGGATTATTTTGTTGAATTGGATAGTGTTTATTGTAGATATATCGCTCGATATGTTGGTCGAGAGTCGGTCGATACTCGACCGCCGGATCGGATATGCCGGCAAGAGAACCCACAATAAACATAGTCAATTTTGATTTAATGTAAATACCTGACAAGAAAAATCGACTCATATTAATAAATGGAAAATAGAGTGACAGAGTGAGCGAAAGGCAAGTGACGTATCAGCATCTGATAGGCGATATTTAATCACACGTAAAAAAATCAACGAAATTTCACACGTGTGTAGTTAGGGATTTTCTCAGGACTGGAAATCCTTGTAAAACGACATTTTGCTCATCCTTGTCAAATTATTGTTGACTTTTCGAAGAAAAATTAAAGTGTCTCATAATTAATTTTCATTTAATCAGAATGCAGAGAGACAAGTAAAAGGAAAATTAGTAAAGAAACTGGGAGAAATCATTATGCATCATTTGTTTAGCTGGGTAATCATTGCTTTAGGTACGTCACGTATTTCAAAGCACGAAGAGGTAAAAGGGAAGACGCACGTGAATTTGATGTGAGTTTGTAGTTATAATGTTCAAAAAGCATATCTGTCCTACAGGAAGATATCTCGGAAAAGTCATATGGAAATTCGTTTTATCCGCTATTCTGTTTTAATTGCAGAGAGCAAGTATTCATTTTATTCATGTCAGTCCTAATGTAGCTTTAATCCGGATTTTGCGACTGCTTTGTGGCTGCTGGCTTTAAAGTGTCATCGGTGGTTCCAACAGAGAGGTATACGTAAAAAGAGACCCAAGAGGTGACACTGAGGTGAGAAAAGATACTTTTACAGAAAAGATTAAGTGAACACTATCAAATTAAAAAAAAACGGTAGATGGCTAACTTAACACCAGATGGGAATCACACGGCGAAAGTTCAAGCCCTGTTTTGCTCGACTCGTAGTTATGGCTTCCCGCAAAAGATTTTTATTTTGACATTAAATATTTCCATGTCCATGTCTACAATATTAGGAAACGTACTGATAATTGCTGCACTTCGAAGAGTACATTCTCTTCATCCGCCATCGAAAACTCTCCTCCGATGGCTTCTGGGTGCTGATCTTGCTACTGGTCTTCTTTCACAGCCTCTCTTTGTTAGCTTTTTAACGTCTCAGGAGCACTCCGAAGCTTGTTATTATCTGAAGACTATTTTTTACACTACAGCTACATTATTTTCGTTAGGGCTGGTTTTGACACTGACAGCAATAGGTGTCGACCGACTCTTTTCTCTTTCACTGGGTCTGAGATACCGGCAATTGGTAACAACGAGAAGAGTGCGGTTTACAATGAGTTTGCTTTGGCTTCTTAGCGCTGTGATTGCATCGACTTTCATTTATCACCCACTGGCTACAACGAGCAGCGTTTATATAATTGTTTTCCTCTGCGTGATGGTCTCGACCTTCTGTTATTTGAAAATTTACTTGGGAATTCGTCAGCATCAAACACAGATAGGCGTGCAGAGGCAATTTGGTCAGGGAGAAACCTTAAACATCGCACGCTACAAAAAGACAGTGACGGGTGTAGTGTGGGTGCAGATTACACTGGTGATTTGCTATGTGCCACATGCGATAGCCCAAGCTATATTTGCCTACACTGCTGAAGGTACCGCATCTTTTAACTTCTTTTGGGATGTGACAATTTCTATGGCTTTCTTGACCTTAACTCTGAATCCTTTCTTGTACTGCTGGAAGGTTCGTGAAGTAACACGTGCCTTGAAGGACATAATTAGGCCATTGCTTTGCTAAGTACGACAAAAAAAGAACCATTTTAGAATGAGCGGCTTCCTGTAAGAAAAGTATACAGCTGGAAAAACAAAGCTTCAGCGCGTGAGGCACGCAGGCACAGTTCCATACGCAAGAAATTATGTTACCCATCAAGATCAAGAGAGTTTGGTTGCCATGCAATGGCGGTATTCTTGAAATAACTTATAGGATACTCCGACAAAAACATGATGTCTACAATAATTGCAGGATTAAAGATATTACCTACTGAGAGCAGTCATCAAACTCTAAGGAAACTTACCGAGTAAACTTATTTACAACCAGATCCGTCAGATTTATAAACATTTGTGCCCGCAAGAATCATTGCCACAGGTATAGCCATAGCAATGATGCAAGAAACAAGTGAATTAAGCTTTTTGAAGTGAAAATAAATCGTTGTCGGCTTGAGACGCAGTCTTTTTAAATTAAAATGTTGGTCGTTAAAGACCCAATGGAGCTTCCGTTGAAATTTTTTAACTGGTTTGGATATTGGGTCTCGAAAGCACTGGCCTCTACAACTGTGTCACAAGGGGGATGAATGCCACGTAAGGACCGTAGCTCCCTGTGTTGTGGTTAGGTCCAAAATTTTTAGGGCACCTACAAAATTTCTTTTCAAAACGTGTAAACTGCTCAACGCAGTCTGGCCAAAGTCCCCTACTAAGTGTTGTTAAGTGCATTAAGGCGGATTGATATGGTATAGTGTGCTATATTACTGGATCATTATTACTTTCCTATTACCCCCTTCCCCTTTCTAAGGTTTTAATTTGATTTTGATATTATCAGTTTGAAGTAAAAACTGCACCAGCCCGTTACTTCATCCATAATGGCATGCGCAGGTTTCTAGTGTTTACGTAAGCAAAATGTTTTAAAATGGTCGGAAAATGTCTTTTAAACCCCATTTCCTGCTAAACCATTGTTTTTTTGTGTAATGGTTACGAATATTCTTATCAATAAAATTCCCTGATGAGTGAGCATTCACGAAACAGGCTTGAAGGGATGAAAGCGTAGTCTTTGTATTTTTCTAACTCGACATATATTGCGCTCTACTTTTGTGTATCGAGCACTGAAACATGTAAAAAATAAAAACGCAGTCTTCCTGTGTATATGTTCTTCTGCTTTCTAAATAAGGAATGTTTGCTTGTTGAAGGTGGTCCTCAGTTTTGTCTATGTGTTCTAACTTCAGATTGATCATAAGCTAAATGTGAAGTACGCGGGCATGGCTTGCCTTTTAGCTTTCGTTCTGCTGGCGGCAATGTGTTATTCGTCATCTTAATATATTTTCCTGGGAGGCGAGTAACACAGTCTTTAAAATCTAACTTTTTCCATAACAATATTGAATTTTAAATCTGACAAATCCTCCCGATAATTTTTGGTCTAATGTGTTTTGATGACTCGGGTAAATAATGAACACTGAAGTCAAATCATGCAAACGCAAGATGAGACTTTATTAGAAGCATCTGAAATTTGCTCAAATGTAACTGCTTTTATTCTTTGTATTTAATAAGAACCTTCCACATTGATAAGCTCCTAGGGAAAAGATTGAGGTTAGAATTTTGTTTAGAGGGGCATGGGATGTTATTGATCTGAGAAATATCAACTCTATTGTTTTAATGCCATTAACTTCAATGGGAAAGTCTATGTTAGGCTCAAGCTGATGAAACAAACTAATTGTTAGTTGCTTGGGAAAAAAAATATTTTGAGTGCAATGACTGAAAAGGAGCCACTCAAGCATATCATATCACGTTCCAAAGTGAAATCAAAACAGATCCTCGCATTTAGTGTGAGCTTGATTTGTATTAGCTTAAGACTGGTTTTCGACATCATTGAAGCAACCGATAAGATACACAAAATAACTCGATAGAATACCTCTCAATTCCCCTTTAACAAAGTGTGTTATGTGAACAAATGGCATAAAAGAAAGAAATTACATAAAAAAAATTAGATCATAATCATGGGGGAAATCTGAGGAGATCGAGATGGTAAAACAAGTTTTTTTTTCAATTAATTGAATATTTGTCCTTTTTATTCGAAGATTCTCGATTCCACTGTCTACCAAAATTTTCTTTACCTAGCTCAGCAAAACAACACTCGGATTGTTTCTTTCACCGCTTGTCTTACTTCACTGACTTTCCAACAGTAAATGAAAGGATATACAGCTGAGTTAAAGAATACCATTGCCAAGGTCACATCCCAGATTAGGTCTAAAGTTGGCGAAGCTAATTCTCTGAAAGCATATACAGCTTGGACTATTGCATGTGGTACATAACAAGCTATCAATGTTATTTGTACCCACACTAACATCGTCACTGTCCTTTTCTATCGCGCAATGTTGAAGGCTTTGCCCTGTGGACCTTGCTCTGGCATTTGTATCTGCATTTTATTGTTGGCGAAGATTGAAGTATATTTTTGCGTAACAAAACGTCGAGAAGGCCACACAGAGAAGATCAGTTATAAAAATGCTGACACTGGTCACGAGTGAGTTGTAAATAACCGTTGTTGCGATGACAGAGCTAAGAAGCCAGATGAAGACCATCGTAACCCGTACTCGTCTTGTTGTCACTTCCTGTCGGTATCGAAACCGCAATAACAGAGCTAGCAGTCTGTCTGCACTTATTGTTGTCAATGTTAACATCGATACTAACCCGAGCAATGCAGTGGTACATTAAAAAATGGTTTTGAGACTTTCGCAAGTTCCAGTGTGCTCTTGAGACGTTAAAAAGCTAACGAAAAGCGGCCCTGCAAGAAGGCCAACACCAAGATCAGTACTTGCAAGGCAGCGGAAGAGAATTTTTGACGGTGGATGAAGGGAATATACCCTTTTTAGCGCAACAATTATTAAAACGTTACCTAAGAAAGCAGTCGTGGAAATGATAACAATTAATGCAATGATTAATGTCTTTTATTGGCGAATCACACAGATAATATCCTGACCACTCGTTTGGTTTCCATATGAGTTGGCAGGCATTTCTCTTTGTCGCCTTTGACTTCAGTTGCGGTTTGTAGTCTCGTCTTAATTGTTATCGTCTGTAAACGTATTCAACTCAGGATTCTCCACTTCGCTCCGTTTGGGAGCCACCACTATTCTAACTTTAGAACTCGACTTTGTCAAATGCTCAGGGAACGTACTATTCTTAAAATTCCTGCGACCCAAAATGGAGATAATTGTTAGAGGTGCAACCATTTCAACACATCTCCGATTCCATCAAATATTATATTTTTTTACAAATTGNTCTTCTCGATGATGTTTAACGTTTCTTAAAACGTCCTTACAATCGTAAATGCTTGATTTGTCTCATATAATCCCTTCATATCTTTATCGCCTTGAATATATCGATCTTAACAATGATATTCTTTACAAGACCGATTTTCTAGAGAAGATTTTGACTTGGATATCAATATATTTACCTTTTCCTGATAAAGTATCTTTTCATTTCCACCTGCCTTTATCAAGTAAGTAGTACCTGCACGTCGTTCACATAGACTCTTTACGCTAAGGTGACATATATTAACCGCAGATCTCATATTTACAAAGAGAGCTGCTTCCAGGCCAACTTTCTTCTTTTAAAATGCAAAATCTATTCTTTGACACGAGTTTCGGAGCCAATTTTTCAAATTTATTAAACCCCTCAGTCATTAGACACGCGGTCTATAAGTGTCGTTTGAAAAAATTTCTTTTTCTTTCTCTGCTGGTGACGTTCAAATGCGTTAGCCTGCCTTAATATGGTCGTGAGTCTTGTTGAATTATGTAACGCTGGTGACGTTCAAAGTGCTTTAGGCTATGTAAGAAACGCTTTGAATTTTATGTGTACGTCTTCTACAACGAATGAAGCCTCCTGATGACTTAATTTCAGTAGATTAAGTTTTCTCCTGAGGTGATTAATGTGTTAATAGAACTACGTCAAGAACACCATCAGTGCAGAATAAAAAAGAGGGAAATAAAACATTACAATAAAATGACAAAATAAAAGTGCTGCTACGCTACGTATTTACACTGATCGTAGAGTATCAACAACTTGACAACAAGGCTTCAAGGATTCACTAGTACTTATCAAGATAAAAACGATTTATTTCGTGGAAATGATTGCGATCTGTAGTGTTTGTTATCGGCATTAAGGCATACGTCGAAACCAAATGAATAAGAACCGTTCGTATTCTCTGGTTCGAAACTAGTTTTCTGTTAGGGTCCTTTGCAAAAATGCCACAGTTACTAAATTGTAAGGAGCTGAGGAAATAGAGGTTCTCCCTCTTCAAAAAGTGAATGTCTTTGTATCCTGTAAAACGGCCTTTCTTGAAATTCAATATTGTAAGGAACATATCTTCAAAATCCATGATTCTTTTATGCGAAGACAGCATCAGGAATTGTGTGAAGGGAACGCCAGGAAAGCGATTTCTGAAGCCTTTTAAATGACTTCGTTACGCCTTCAGGTGTGTTGTTTTATCAATGCAATATTCCGCCAACCAGCGAAAAGGAAATCAAGCGAAAAGTAAATCAAACTCTTAGTGTCTCTGCTCTACGATAAAATGATTAATAAAGAGGGAATATTACATGTGCGTGCATAGATATGGAATTTCTCTTGAGATATCTCACAAGTGAGTGCACTAGCTAGCGAACGATTAAGATAATGAGTAGAACACGAGCAACCATAGATTATTTTGTTGGATCGTGTTAACTGTAGATTTATCGTTCGATATATCGGTCGAGAGTCTGTCGTTAGTCGGCCGATACGTCGGTCGACACTCGGCCACCTCTTGGTCCACACGGTCGACACACGGTCAACATTCGGTTACCCATATATCGACCGCCGGATATGCCGGTGAGAATAACTACAGTATACATGATCCATTCTTTTTTAGAACATAGCTAGCAGAGTCGCGCAATCAAATTCATTATACTTGAGCGTGCTCAAAATCCCGATAGTGCACGCTGATAGCGTCAGCAAATCCGACTTCGCCAGAAATTGTTCTTTTCGCGCGAGCGGCCATTGTTAGCGCGGGGAAAAATAATATATTTCGCGACAATAATGGATACAAACAGAAACTCGGCCTACTAGTCCGAAAACGAAGACAATGTTTCGACCTTTTCCCTTGGGTTAGAGTTCTTAAATGAGGCAGAAAAAGAGAAAAACAAAGGAAAAGGAGACTCGGCATCAGCGCCGTCACGATTCGCTTCAACTGATATTGTTGTCCGTTTTTCGCGTCGGATTTGATGCACAATTCCACCGGCTATGTTCTAAAACAATTGGTTCATGCTTTCAGCTGTGCACTATCGAGTTATGGAGCACGTGGGAAGTTTGGAGAGCACTCAAGAAGCTAGAGTTGCCCTCGGCTATCGCCTCGGGCAACTCTTACGCTTCTTTCGTGCTCTCCAAACTTCCCGCGTGCTCCATAACTCGATAGTGCAC